TACAATCGTCTCTGACCGTAAGCAATAATTTTAGAATAAAATATTTTTACTGTATCAAACATTATTATTATTAACACAAATTTCCCAGATATCTTATAATTCCAACCTTTCGAAATTCTCTCAATATTTCCTTAAATTTCCCGCAATTTTTCAAAAAATAACAAAAATTTCGAGCTTCATTCTAATGATTCTGTGACGCCATAAGCGACATTTGGTATTAAAAGAAGAATAAATATATATGACTAAATCTGCTTGGCAAAATGAAATAATTCATAATAACTAATTTTAGAACGAATTAAAACGTAATTTAGTTTTGGTAACGAAAAATCTATATTTGGGAGTTTAGACTTTAATATATTATTTGCGGATTCATCATCAGATGAGTCAAATTTGCTTTTAAATCAGAAATATTGATATCAAACGTAAAATAGTAGAACCTTGACATAATGCGCTGAAATCTGTAAAATTTAATTTTAACGACGATTTAACTTGACATAACATGTGTATAGGCTAATTTGTTTGAAAAATCAATAACTAACTAGCTTAAAACACTTTTAGTTTTTTACTTTAGTGACAGTTGCTATTCTAAGACCGATGCACAAAAGTGATATTTTCCGTTACACTCTCTTTTCCTCCAAACCTTGACGGTTCTTGTCAGTTGCAAAGCGTTTCATCCACGTCAATAATTAAATAATACAGAATTACACAACCCTAGCACCGAAACATAGATGATATTATTTAAATATATCTGTCTAAACAAACCTCTGCATCAATTTATGATTTATTGTAATGCTTGGAATTTTTTTTAGATAATGAAGGCAGCTTATTCATACGGCACTATTATGTCACAGAACTATCGCTAATGTCTCGATTGACCAAGCAAATGATAATCATGTATTGGTGTATTTGTTCTAAATAAACTCCATTTAAAGTGGAAGTTGAATTCCTTGTGATTAATCTAAACATCCGAATAAGTTTACAAGTACTAAATTTTAATACGGTATTTTACTATCCATCATGATTCGAGGATATAAAGAAACATATAATTTTATGTTTATTTCAAAGAAAAGAAAAAAATTCCAACAAAAACCTAACTTGCATTTTATTGCTTGAGAAATTTAAAAATGGTATTTTGAATTTCGTTTATTAACGAAACAGTTTATGTATTCTATATAAAGTGTTTAAATTGATTCTGAGTTTTTCTTAAGAAATTCGTCTTCGAATAAACGCAAAGTTAAACACAAGTTAAAATAGAGAAATAAATAGGTATAATACTGTATACTATCCTATAAATAAAAAAAATATTAGCTAAATGATCTTGATTCTTAATTTTTCCTTCTTGGTTTACATTTTTCTACTTCTAGGACCATTCCCTAATACTGTACCTCCATCCCTTTACTGAGTTAAAATGCCCATTCCTTGAAAAGTCCTTCTCCTATCCCTAATATTCTTGTTAAATTTGTTTTTTTTTTTGGGATTGATTTTTCCTCGTTCAAGATGAAGTTTTATATTTTGTATAAAATAAAATACACCAAAAAAATATTCGACTTTTTTTTACTTATTTGTATGTCATTCTATACTAGTTCCTTTCCAAAATAATTCATTATAAAATAAATAACTAAACGAATTGTCACTTTTTCTTTCAAGAATATGAATTTTGATATGCATGTGTAAATGTCTAATATAATAATCTTCTGACAAACTCTGTTATTTTGTAATCCCTTTCCTCAATTAGTATCTCAAATACTTTCAAATCTCGAGCTAAAACCCTTCTTCATACCTGTATTCACTTTTCAATGCGCTCATGAATATTTATCTCCGTTCGTTTAGTGACCAAATCGACTGTTAAATTTAATCGATATGAATTACTTATCAATTTTCATCAATCAGACATTTGCTATTCGCAACCATTTGCATAAGGTAATATTTTTCAACAAAATTTTTTTAACTTTTGAATTCAAACAATTTCCACTACTTCTTTCTTCTACTACTATTTTCTTATCATCGCATTACTTATTGCCAAAAACATAACATTTAAAATATTTACCATTCACATCTTATATGATACATATTTTTAATTGGCAGAATCGATCGGATCACAAATAGTCAAATAGAAATCACTTAAATATACATAATGGATACTTTGTTTGCCTATCGGAAGACATTTCTACTGATTATGTTACTTTATTTCAACGGAAGCTACAGAAATCTTATCGGATCTTATAGGTTTTGCAGAATACAGTATGCAATTGTTTTACTCTCTACTCGAAAATACCCAATTATGCAGCGATCCGGCGTCCAAAGAAGCAATAAGACTTCGTCAACACTGCCGCGATCCATTTCGTCATTTCTGGTAGCCCCGCGTTTGGGAGCGATAAATTAGATTAGATAGATAGAGTTTGTCTGTTTTATATAGCTATTAGATAATATAATGACCCTACTTCGGTAAAAATTAATGCACCGCATTCGGAACTGATATTTTCTTAGGGAAGGTAATATTTTTCGTTTGTCCTTGCACCTTACGCCATTTTCTTCCTAAGCAACGATTTTCACACCCTTAGCTCGTTTGTCCAGAACATTTAACGAGGTCTCGGCATATTTTGAAAATATACATCAGTAAAAATGCCGCATCCAAACTTATTGACGATCTGTCAGCGGTCATGTTATGTGTTGAATGCCGCAAGGTTGTTGGTAAGAAACGGAATATTTTTTTCATAGTTGCTTTATAAGTTCCTGCATTATCAGTTTGGGTAGGGCCACTATATCTCTAATAATTATATGGTCATGTCACAGGTTACCTAGTTAATGAAAAAGATGATAACCTTCTTCAGACACTCGTTGAAATACACTGTTCATTTCCCTACAAAAACCAAATCACTATAAATGGCAAATCACTATTTTCAATGAGTGAATTCAAGATAAAAAAAATAATTACATAAAGTTCTTTCTAGGACGTTTAACTTCAAACATTAAACTCCTATTCGAAAATCTTTTGTTGGTGTTTAAAATACCGTCGATTTCAATGAATTCAACTCTTAATTTATTGGCGAAGACTTCTGAGAATAACACCTCAGCGTTTCTGTGTGCTTAAAGGAAGACTTCATACACTCTTTCGTGATTAATTAAACTAAACTCCAGACAAAATAAAAAAAAACATGTAGTAATATTCAGAATATGATAATCATAACCTAACCACGATCACACCTAAAATAGTACCTGTTCATTTGGGTAGTCCAACAAAAAAGATTTCTTCTTCAAAATCACATTATTAACGAAAAAGGAATCGTTTTGTTTTCTTAATATTTTGCTTGGAGGTGCATTTTCTTCACTCGCGAACACCTAAGGAAAACATTTTTTTAACAATATTTCAGACGTCATAATTACCAAAATGATTTAAAAATGACAAGAAGCTGAGCTGTTTAAAAAGAACAAATATACACAATAGGTGCCTATTCAAATGCAGAAAAAGTAAAACAAAATAAAAGAAACGTAAATAAGAAAGATCTCTAAAATTCAAAGTTAAATAATTAATAGAATAATAAAGTTAATTGGTCACCATATGACAATTAAAAAATATATATTTAAAAGAACAATAAAAACTAGTTAGAAATAACAATTACTATCCTTTATCAAACGGAAATTAAACCCATCTTAAAAAACAAAATTAAAATTAAAACTAAATAAAATAATAGTATTATTGACATTTCCCTTTGTTATTTTCGAAAAAAATATTTATGTAAGGTATAAGCAAAATTTTAACTATTCTGGGCATAGGCGTCTTATGAGAATGGCCAACCTAAAATAGTTTAATTCATTTTTCCTTTACATCATTTCGACCACCTATTAGAAACACGATGCTTATTTCTCATCGATAACACGAAATTTGATTGTTTTATGATAAATGCAGTGATACTATCTGCACCTTATAAGATAATAATTATGCTACAACCGTATTATACACAAACAAATATTATATATATGCAGGCCTTGTGCTTTGTTATTAAAAAAAAAATAACTTACGAAAATTGTTTGGTTGTTCCCATACACAGTCCCACAAAATACTGTTTTTTAATTATCATGCCTGATAATTTGCAACAAGTAGTTTCACTTCGGTCCCACCTTTTCAGAGAAAGATCCTATATAAATATGAAAATTCGTTGCTTCGATCTGTTAATATGGTGCTCTATAATTTACGGCATATTATCTGGTAAAAAGCAATTTTCCGCCCACCGTCAGAAATTACAGAGCAAGCAAATGCAACTTTAGTCACGCATATACGGAAAGTGAATATCAAAGAGAAATTGATCAGGTTGGCAGGGTTGGATCGGATAAGATGACGCTACAAAATCCCAACTTATCGAAATTTAAGAGGAGAATAGCATTTGTTTATGTTTTGAAAGTTAGTAGCTAAAAATATCTTTATAAACAGTTACACACTATTGATCAAAAATAAAATAGCACATGAGGGTTAATATTCTTCATTCAATCATTTGATACTAAATACCACCCTGTCTTCTAGATTGAACACTTTAAAAAAATTCATGGTTTAATCGAGCATATATTTAAATCGAGTCCAGTTCGATATCAGTACAATCGTTTCTCTATGTAGTGGAAACACTAACGTGTAACTGTTTAAAATTCGAACTTGTTTATGTTTGGCTCTTAAAAAGAAACTTTCACAAAATGACAGATTCAGGCGAAATTATGAAATTGTCTAAATATATTATGATTGCATCTGGAACTTGGCGGTTGCCACTGAACCAGCCTGCGTTCATGAAAAAACTCTACTTTTTATATTCAGTATACGTTCACGCCCAGTACGCCCTATTTCTGTTGTCATTGATAATACAATTCATTATTCTTTGTACCCAAGATGAACTTTCCAAGGAGCTGGACGACCAACGATTTAAGGTCTTTTCTTATGTTATTACAACGCTCACCGCTCATATCAAACTACTCATTCTCCAAGATATGAGTCTTTGGACCCTCATCCTCTCCATAACGCAGGAGGAAAAGAAACTACTCACTTTGATAGACAAAGATATTCTGAATAATCTTCGTCGACAAGTTTAGAAAGTTTTAGAAAGATGGATAAATATGCTGATATTTAGTATCTCAGCCTTTATCGCGGTAGCTCTCATCGTAGCCAACGGTTTAGAAAGGCATCAGATAGAGAAATATAACCAATATTACAACGATTCGCTACCAAAACCAACGTTATTTCCGTTATATTATGGCAACATCGACACCGAAGAGTATGGTACGATGCTAGTTATTCTGAATTTGTTGTGTGCGGTCACAATCATATTCATCTCAACGTCCGCACAGTGTCTTTACCTAACTTGTATCATATTCGCCACATCTATGTTAAAGGCATTACAAATAAGATTTGCAAAGATGTTGGACGAAGATGGAAACATACTTGAAACGATTAAAAATTTGATAAATGAACATCAAAAAGTGATTATGTGAGTGAGTACATTTAGTAAAAACCACTTGTAAGCCAGAATTTACCAATACTTCTGAATTTTTAGGTTTGTTCAGGAACTAAATGACACGGTGAAATACTTGATGATGATGGACTATCTTTTAAATGCTGTAAATATCGCAGGGGTGGTAATTATTCTTCTGGAGGTAGGTTGTGAACCTGCAAATAGTCGATTGCGGCTGCAACAAAAGTTAGATTCGAGAGTTTTTCAGGCCAGCGATGGAATCGAAGTTGCCTCAACACTTTTTTACGCCGGTCGGTTGATCACTATTGTTTTTGCACTAGGTTGGACCTCCAACGAAATTCAAATACAGGTAAAATCATAAATATTAAATAAATAAAATAATATAATATTATTAAATTTACTTATAGATGTGAGATTTTTGCACAAACTTATGGAATTTTGATAAATGGTTATTTAGAATTTATGTTTGTTCCAAAATTAAGAAGTAAATTCTCATCTTAAACCTAAGTAACATATAACATCAAAGAAATTTTAAAAGGAAAAATGAACTACTATAATGCCAAAAGAAATAAGCGATTACATTTGGGCAACACCGATAATTTAGTAAAAATTTTTCTATTTCTGATCCATCCATCCATCGATCTTTCAGTTATTCGATGTAACCAAAAATGTTAACAATCTACCCCTAACCGTGTGATTGTTAATCTAATAATTAATACACTAATAACACTTTATCATATCGCGAACTTACAGAGTCAAGCGCTGGCCGATGCCATCTGCGAAACTCCTTGGTGGGAACAGCGTAGAGATACGCAAAAATTATTGCATATGATGATAGTGCGTGCCCAGTGCCCCCTAGCTATAACTATTGGTCCATTTGATGAAATGACGATACGGTCATCTCTGACGGTAAGTATCCTCTGAATTATCTCAATTTGAACTTTACATTCCTTATTAAAGGTCGTTTTAAACTTTTCTAAACGTGAGCAAGGATTTACTTTGTTCCTATAAACCCAAATTTTAGAATTCAGCAAAATTTTAATTCTTACAGATTTATTTGAAAATTGAAAACCAATACCAGTAACAAAACATTCAAAAATGAAATTATCATTTTTCAGATAATGAAGGCAGCTTATTCATATGGCACGATAATGTCGCAAAAATATCGCTAGTCCCGAAAGTTAAATTCGGGTTCTTGATAGTGAAGAATTTCAATACAACCAAACAAATTTGCATTTTGGGTGTACAGTTGTAACATCCGGATACTAATTCAAATTTAAATAAAATAAATCTTGTATAGATGCTTATTTTGTTTGAAAATGGTGTCAGTTCTAATTAGTTACCAATTTTGTATACTGTAAAGTGAGGTACGTAAACTCCGTTCGCTCTGTATCAGATTAAAACCCGAAGCAGTGAAACCAGTGCTTACCAATATAATGTTGTGGAAGTTTAAGATCCATTCTACCAGGAGGAAAAAGGTTTATTAAATAGCTGTCATGATACGGTGGGCAGAATATATGCAGGATCCAGTACAAAAACATTTTTTTCTGTTTATCTCGCGGATTCTTCGCAGTTATGAGAATATATGCAACAAAAATCAATTTTTGGAACAAAGCTTGGTGTGTTGGACGTAGGAAGAAAATATCTTAAGTGAGAACCATTAAATAAAAAAAGTACATTATACATTATGAGTAAAAAAATACAAACATAAAATTTTATTTCACATAAGGCGTTGTTCAGCTAAAGTTACTAAACTTTTCGAAGTCAGGATCGTAAACCGATCAAGCATTACTATGACTGATGGCATTTTATTAAGGGGTGTTATACTTATTAACGCAAAAAATCACGATCGTGATTTTGACGGTCCCTGTGGATGTACATATGTAGACAAAGCCACAGAAAATTTAAATGAAAACAAATTTCTTCGTATTTGTAATGATCGTGTTGGTCTTGAATTCTAGCATTTCGGGTATATTTTACATTCAAAATTAGTGCTTTCATAGCGTTGCAAATATGGTACAAAAAGAATTGCTAAGTAAGATATACAAATATGGGTTACATTCGTGTGTGAATCGTTTTGGTTTTCTTTTTACCAAAGTTCAATGCTTGGCAGTTTTAAAAAGTGACAATATCTTTTGGGGCATTTTATATATTCTTCTATACCTATACTACATCTTGAAGGCCACCGAGAAACTCCAATCCAGCAAAGCTACAAAACTACAGCCATTGGGTTTTTTAAATATGGATGTAAAATTTTTCCGACAATACAATGATTTTAATTACAGGAGTCTAATAATAATTATTATTATTATTTATTATTAGTGCTCGTAATCGTTGTGGAACTCAATTTTGTTGCAACTACTGTTCCTTTTATTCCGATGTATTGTTTCTCCTATAGTTTAAAAAAATTAACAGATTTAACAAAATTTATGACATAGCATGTTACCGAAAAATAACTAAAAAAAAGTTAATCTAAATGAAATAACGGTTCGCGAGAAAACCAATTTTGGAACTGGGACTAGTTTCTACTGGCCGATTTTTTGTGGAAGTACTAAAACGGTACTAATGAGAAAGTTATGACATGAAATAGCTAACTAGCACAATATTGTTATTTTCACAAGTTTAATTTGGGATTGCTTTTGGGCGTTCTCATTACAGACCACCCTGTAATAATGTATTTAAACAAATAACATTTTCAGGTTGCAACCGCGATACCCTCCGCCGAAAATATAACGTCAAACCAGATTCCTTTTCTATTCACCGTCCTAAAGGTGACTTGACTAATTAAGTCTACAAATCATACACAGTGCGATATTTTTTAAAACGTGTCATCATAAAATCACTATCACTATACCCAACATCAGGAGGTGTAGACAAAATTAAAATGACTCTGACGCCTCATTTTAAGACCAAATAAACACGCATTAGGGTTAGATTAACTTGAAACACTCAAGTACTTACGAGGCGTCGCAACCCTTAATTACTTCCAGTTCCTTTTTTAAGTGTCTCATTATTGGGCTTTTAGCAAACATTCTGAAAATAATCGTTTCCCTTTCTAAAGTATTTCGAATTTAAAAAAAACGATACAACGTTTTGCACCAGCGTCATGAGGGCTTTTTTACCGAAATTAGTTACATTGGTAATGTTTTGCATAAAAAATTCGATTAGTCTTACAATCCAAAATAAATTGAACCACTTGAAAATCTCTATAAATCATCGTCCTGATTCATTTTTTATATAACTGTATAGAATTCTTAATTAAAAAAATACTCTAGTAATTCCATAAGAAAATGGATTTTTTTTCTGCCCCTTCTGTAAAATATTCAACTATACGGCGATCTAGGGTTCCCGAAAGTGTCATTTTACCATGTAAGTTTCGTTTACCATGGATTCGAGCCACTTTGGACATTTCCGGGATATTATCGCACGGGTTTGTTAGCAATCGGATGTTTTCGGTCATGTACGCAACCCATCCAAACATGTTCTTTTTCAGATCGTATTTTGAATGGTACGACGCAATATTGACTAATAAAAAAATATACATTGCTTCTCTGTCTAGTCGTTCGTTTCATTTTGATGGCTAGAAAGAACTTGGAATTCTGAATTTTTGGAATACGTCTTGATCATCTAGAAAAACACTGTTGCTCCAACTGTAGATTTCAACCAGTTTTGACTGAGAAAGTTTGCAAAATTACCAGTTACGCCATATTCAACTAACCAGGACTTTGCTTTTCAAAATCAGTTTATAAACGTCATTGTAAAATTATATTTTGTGTACCAGTGTTGTTGCCTGCAATGATATAAGCATTTTTCTCCAATAAATATTACGGAAAGCTAAACTGTAATTTCTGACATTCATACTTATTCTTACATCAGAACAGGCAAAATTAGAATTGCGTTTCTGTCAATGCAAGAAACTAACTACAAATAAGGGGGATCAAAAACTTAGATAAATACTTCCTATAAAGTACGCCCCTGACTAAATTTTGTTTGTTTACTACTCAGCATCAAGAACGAAAGACCACGTCGAACTGTGATTAACATCCAGCATCTCCTGAATGTAGCTGTATCTCTTATAGTCAAAACTTCCAAAGTAAATTACCACTATAATCTAAAAGTTAAAATGGTTACACGCTGCCAAAAACAATTCGAGTATAAATCTTTGTAAGTTCTGAATTACTTTCCATAAATAGAAAGACGTTTCAATAAAAACCAAAGTTTTAGACTTATTCCCTAAACATTTTGATTCACAAGATCTTGTCCGCGGCTGTGTGTTCGTCTAGAACTTACGATATATGGATAAATCCAATATCCCGCCTTTTTTCCAATAATTACAGGGAAGGACATTATAACGCTAGTCACGCATGTAGGTAAAGAAATGAATATTATAGGAGAATTGACGGAGTTCATTTACAGCAGGGATGGATCCTACAAGCTTACAGAAATATTCCACGAAATTGGTACAACAACTCTTCAAATTGGTAGGATATCGTTTAAGTTATTTCTGATAAGAGAAAAAAATAAATATTTCGTTGTGAGTCCCAAAAAGTTTAAGCCTTAAATAAAAATAGCGAATCCTGACCACCCTGCTTGAAACATTCAGACTTTTTCTAAAACGCAATAGTTGTATGGAGTACATGATATATCGATGCCAGAAGCACTGAGATGTATTTGTGGAGAGAATAAGCGGTCTCTGTAGTTATAAGAAGTTGGGAAATTTCGTAGTGCTACAGAATGTGCTTGGATTCAAAATATTGTTAGTAAATTTCAGGTGGTCTAAGGGTTTCAGAGTAGGTTATTTTTACTTTTTTAAGAAAATGGCACCTGAGGAAATTCTAGGTCTGTCCAAATACGCCATGATTGCAGCTGGTGCCTGGCGCTTACCCATCAGCCAGCATCCATTCGTAAAAATGTTGTACATGCTGTACTCAGTGTACATCCACATCCAATTCGCCTTGCTAGTTATGTCAATAATGATACAATTTATTATCCTTTGCAAGCAAGATGATCTTTCGAAAGAAGTCAGCGATCAACGATTTACGGTCTTCTCTTACTTTATTTCGTCGCTCAGTACCCAGGCAAAATTGTTAATATTCAATAGTAAAAGTGTATGGCTTATCATCTCTTACATAACGACTTACATAACGAATGAGGAGAAGAGATTATTTGCCGATCAGGATATTTTAAATTATCACCGTCGACAAGTTTCCTTCGAAAGGTGGATTAATGTGGCGATATTTAATTTTACCGCTTTCCTTGGGTTGGCCACCATCATGGCTAATAATTTAGAGAGACACCAGATCGAGAGACATAACCGAAATTACAACGATTCACTACCGAAACCGATGCTATTTCCATTATATTATGGTAACATCGACACCGAAGAGCACGCTACAATTTTGGTAATTCTGAATATCGTATGTGCGATTGTTATCGTACTCGTTTCCACACCTACGCAGAGTCTTTATATAGCGTGTATGATTTTTGCATCGTCTAAATTAAAAGCACTACAGATACGATTTTCAAAAATGATGGATGCCGATGAAAACTCAATACTCAAGACGCTTGGAACTTTCATAAATGAACATCAGAGCGTTATTACGTAAGTAATTTGTAACATCCAAAGATGCAAGAACGAAGGTTTTTTTTGTTTCAGATTTGTGAGAAATCTAAACGATTCCGTAAAGTATTTAATGATGATAGATTATTTTCTCAATGCTGTAAATATTGCTGGAGTTGTGCTCATTCTTCTAGAGGTAAGGATAGCGAAACTAAAGGCACTCAATGTTTTTTTTAAGTATTGGTCCCGTAGTTGACACTTACTGCAAACGTATAGAACGGACACGTCACAAGAATAAATGTCCAATCTGAAACTTTTCAGTTATCAACCGCCGACTCGATTTTGGGACAACCTGTATTAAACTCTGACCGTAAAATTCCCTGTTTATTTACGAAACAAAGTTGTGTTCTGATTTTGTCATAAAATTTTGACTTAGGGCTTGAAATTTTACAGTCCAGTTTTAATATATGGTGTGAATCAATAGTAAGCTGGTGACAGAAAATAAATTATTGGGAAAGTTTCACATATTTTCGTATATAGCATGTGTGGGCATCATGAATCCCCATATATGTTGTCACATTTGGATTTTGCCATTAATTTTCTACGGATTTTGCTCAAAACGCAACCTTAATTTTTTGCGCATTTGTGGGCCATTCTATACTAATTTTAAGGTAAAATTTCATCAAAACAAGTGAACTATGGCGTTTTGCAGGCCGGCGATGCAATCGAAGTTGCTTCAGCTTTATTCTACGCTTGCCGATTGATCGTTGTAGTTTTCGCACTCGTGTTCGAAGTGTTTTCGGAGCGCGAGCATTGAAGATGCCAAGTGAGATTTTGGCGAAACGTCTGCAGGATTCCAGTCGGATGCAAGATTTGCAG